TTATTTTATCATTTAAAAATACCATAAAATAATTGATTTATTTTATAAACTGATCATAGTGAAGTATTAAATAAAATCATATATTTCGTGATATTTGCTGTATTTTATGACAGTTACTCTTAATATTAATAATAACATGAGCTAATTAGGGTTTACTTAATGATTTTATATAACATATATGAAATGTCATATTTTTACTGTCAAAAAATTTCCAAGTATTTGGATTTTAACAGTTAAGATTTGTTAATTCGGACCATCAAGTGTTGAGAATCTTTTTGTTGGGATTTTGACTGTAATCCTATGAGGAGGATAAGTTGTTGTAAAAATGGTTGATGGTGAAATATGTGATACGATTGGTGGAAGAATACTTGATGAGAAAATGGTTGGTGGTGGGATAATGGTTGGATGAATGATGGTTGGTGGTGGAATAATGGTTGGTGGCGGAATAATATTTGGCGGAATAACAGTAGGTGGAATAATAATTGGCGGAATAATATTTGGTGGCGGAATAATAGTTGGTGGAATAATATTTTGTGGAATAATATTTTGCGGAATAATATTTGGTGGCGGAATAACAGTAGGTGGGATAATAGTTGACGGGATAATAGTTGACGGAATAATAGTTGGTGGGAAAATAGTTGGTAAAGGAATTGAAGGTAGTAAAGAAGTAGTAGTTTGCGGCAAATTGATTGTTGGATATTTTCGTTTGGATCTTATTCGTGGAATAGTAAATAAGTTTTTTGTTAAATCATTTTCTATTTCTTTGAAACAGATCCCATATGGTCTGACATCTTCTCCTCGTTTAGAAATCCAATATTCACCACGTCCAGTTTTTTTCATATCAATTCTCTGCAAATCTACAGGATTTACTCGATTTTGAAAGACCAAGACATATCTTTTCCCTTCATATGTAAATTCTTGTGCGTATCTTCTAGCTACTTCTATATCAGGTGTTGTATAAATGCCATACCCAAAAGCAAAACGTTGCCCTTTACTTAATAAATACCCATCCTCAGAAATCGATTTTGCATTTCTCCTAGCTGTACCATGATAAGACACTGGCCAAGAACATTTATCTGTACCAAGCCATCTATCATCACCATTATCATATTTTTTACTGACTTTTAAAGCAATACGATTCCATCCACATGGTCTTAAATATCGAAATCCTCCTCTAGTAAATATTTTTCCTTCATCATTAACATTTGTAAAGTCTCGATTGTAAGCTTGATCCAAATCATTAGAATTAAGACAACTGATTACACTTTCTTCACCTTTAATATGGCGTACAAAATAAATTATTGAATTATTTGAAATATTATAGTCAGCAAGTGTTAATCCATCTTTTAATTCGCAACCATTAAAAATTAATTTTTGCCGGTCTGGGGGTATTCCTTTCTTTTCTGAAATTTTCCGCTTTAATCTATCAATGGTATGACTTCCTTTGCAATAGAGTATATAAGATTCACCAGAAAGCGTTTTCAAAAAAATTTTCATATCTATTTTAACCTTATTATTCACATGTTTGGAAGGTGCCCTACAACCAACAAGATTGTATTGATGAAATGAATTTATCTCGATGTTCTCATAGACTACATTACCAATTTCATAACGTGTTTTTCTATCTTTAAATTCCTTTTCCGTCACAAAATTTCTATCAACCATTACTAAATTAAGGGCCGCATTAAGAAGATTATATTCAAAAGAATTTGACATACTGTAGTTATAATTTTGTTACTATCAAAGTAATATTATAATTTTTTTGAATATCTGCAATGTTTATAACACTGAATTTTTGGTCAACTTGAATTTATACTTATGAAATACAGTTCGGTGTTTATTTTCCGGAACATCCAAACTTATTTGTACGTGTCTTGTGTTTCGTTGTTTTAACGTTAAAGTAGATTTGTGCCAGTTACATGAAACCTTTAGTTAGATGCTAATAGTAGTGAATTACGTACTATTTACTTGCTTATAAATTTTTCATTTCCCAATATCAAGGATTAGAGCTAGTCTTGTGTTATGATTAAAAATTTCTCCTTTTATAGTATTACGATAATTGGCGAATATAACTAAATTAGTATTGTGTGTAATTATCAAAGCCCCTTGTATGAAACAGTGGCGTGCATATTAACACATGATTTTGATGTATGAAGTAGAGAATGTTATTAATTAAAACTTATAAGAATTATATAGTCTAATAAAGTCCCCTTTTCATCACAAAATACATAGCAATAATGATTCATTTTCATCAAGTACTATGTTTGTTGGCATTTAATTCAAGCACAAATGCACGAATAGTACCATACTGCACATATTATGCATCACTCCTAATTCATCCGTTATGTTGGGAAAACCATCCTATAAAAGATTGATCGATTCTGTTAAAAAATGATCAGAATGAAGGATTTTTAACTATTGGTACAAAACTGGTTTATTCGATTCTTATACTAATGATAATACTAGGATCAATTATTTGACCTCTGATTTCGAATTAAATTAGTGACGTATTTGTTCTAAATAAGTGATCTTTAAATTCTATTTTATTTTTTTATGGGTCTTTGCCTTGAAAATCATTTCCCAGCGGACTAATTCGGACAAAAATAATTATTAATTCAATACAGTGGTTTATCAAATAAATATTGAATCAATAATGGTAAATATGATTAATTCATGAACATTAAATGGTATTCATGTTCGTTTTATCCGGATAAGCCCGATGTCATTTGATGATAATATATCAGAAAATGCCTCTAATTCGGTTTTGACTTCAAAATTTCAAGGTTTTTTTAAACTCCCACTTATTTTCGAAATAAGTTAATTATATTAAACATTTTTCGAAGTTTGCAATTAATGTGTGTTGCACAAATTTTCAACTCCTGTTTGCAAAATGATGTACTGCATCTTTTGATCAAATTTTGCAGATCGCAGCTCACTTGATTGCCATTCGATTGTGCGAACGTAAAGCGATTTTCTTAACAAAAAATTCAGTACACGTAAAATATTTTTATAAATTACACTTTTTTATGTTCATGTCCTCAAATAACACCTATATTCTAAAAACTTTTTCGCACAATCAAGCGATCAATAACATCATATGATTAAGCACTCAGCCTAAATAGGGTTAGTCGATTTGTTAGTGCTAGTGAGTCATTGCATGATTTCATGTGATACGATGATCTCAGGGTTCATTGTTCTTGTGCTTAGCACAAAGTACAGTAAGGGATGAGGTCGCAGAACAAGCTATCTGGTATTACATGAGCTGAATTTTACGAGTAATGTAGATTCAGAAATTTAGACTTACGTTCTGGGTGCGTGGGGGTACAATAGCTGGACACAATGTTGAATTGAAAATTTCAAGAACAAAGAAATCGACTGATCATCAAGTTACTCAATACCAAATTCTGTAATGAAAAGTCCTGTGAACTATCGTCACCAGAAAGTCCAATTAGGATCTGATTTTTGTAAATACGTACGTAGTAAAATTTTCCCTGCCCTCAAATGATTATGCATGGCATGAAATTTTGGCAGCTAAAAAATTCAGATAATAAATGACACTTCCCTTGCTCACAATAAAGTTCCGTCTTGTTCTCTGCTCACAAAGGGGCCATAAAAGTCATGTTTTTTTAAAAAAAAAAAAACCGAAAAATTTTTTAAATTGCGTTTTTTTTTAAAAAAAAAACTGTTATGCAAATATTTTTCTAAACGTTTATTACGTGAAATAATGCTATTTTAAAAGATTTTACATATATTCTCAAGGGCTACTAGCGATTTAAATAAACACGATTACATAATAAAACATGAAAATAGCAAGCAGAAGTCGATTTAAAGTAAAAATTTCGATAAATTTCTGTCGGCCTTCTGACTAATTGGATTTTAAGTGAATATTTATATGAAAAACTGTATATTTAAGTGTGAAGATGTGTTGTACTAAGCAAGGCCTGTCAAGGAATAAAACTGCCTGGGCAAGATAGCAGTTACTACAGTAATTGCTTAAATCTTTGACACTACTTTTTTTGATACTGCTTGTCATACAGATTCCAGTAAAGATAATAGTTTTCAAAATTTTGAGTAGATATCTTGACAACTATCTGACCAAATTCGATTAAGCTTTTTTATTTTATGGATTCATAGACGAATAAAAACTTTCTGAATTTAGTCAAGTGGCTGTTGAGATGTTTTTGCTCAAAGTTAGAGAAAATCAAAATGTATATCTAATAGAATCTGGGAAAGATTGAACCAGGGACACGGGGATTATGTGATTTAGTGTGATTAAACCAAATCGCACTAAATCGCATAATCTTATATAATATCAATGACGTATTCATTTTATATATTCTTAAATAAAAATTGATTTGGCCTGTATATTTGACTATTATAAAAACCGATTATTAATAGAACCGAATAAACTGATAACATAGTAGTATGTTAAAGTACGAAATTTTTAAAGCTTTGTAATATTTTAAAATGCGAAATAAGTATGTTAAAGTGCGAAATAGTTAATTTTTAGTAGTATATTAAAGCATGAAATAAATCTTTATTAGTATGTTAAAGTGTAAAAAAAATATTATTAAAAGTTTGAGGTAGGTGCATTCGTCTTCAAGAAAAAAAATTTTTTCAATATGGGTCCAAAAAGAGTCTCATTAAATAGTAGAGTGCTCAAATTTAATGAAGATTTTTATAGAGAAGATAATAAGTTTATGTGCAAGTATTGTCATCATAATGTTAATTACAAAGTTCGGTCAATAATCGTAGCACACATTGAGAGTAAAAATCATAAAAAAAAAAAAGATGCTGCAAAGAGTACAAATACTCAAACACGGCAATTAACACTTACAACAGCACTACAAGCCGCCGAATCTCGAAAAATTACAGTTATATCATTTGTAAAAGCACTAGTAGAGGCGAATATTCCACTTGAAAAGGCTAATAAATTGCAGCCTTGGATTAGTGAACATGTTCGAGAAGGAGGTGCAATACCAACTGCAGATACGTTACGAAGAGACTATTTGCCAATTGTTTTTGAAACAAGTATCATGGATCTAAAAAATTTTTTAAAAATAAAAAAGTGTCAATTATTGTAGATGAAACGTCTGACGCATGTGTTCGTAGCGTCGTAAATGTTCTTTTTTCTTATCAGGGTACGACTAAATTAATCAAAGTAGGTTTTTTAGATCAAGTTAACAATAGAACAATCAGTGAACTAATTATTCAAGCATTAGTTCAGTGGTCAATACCATTTGAATATCCTTGTCTTATTGCTTCTGACTCAGCCGCATATATAAAAAAGTGTTACCGCAAAATTCTAAAACCACTTTTCCCACGATTAATTCATAGTCCCTGCTTAGCACATATTATGAACTTAATTGGCGAAGCTTGGATTTCTGTAAATCATTTTAAAATTATTAAAACATTGCTTAGCCAAATTAAGCAGACATTTCTTTCAAAATCATGTCGAAGCCATTATACTTATCATCTTAAATGTAACAGAATTATTACACCAAAAAAAGTTCCACTCCCATCCAAAACTCGTTGGAATTCTTGGTATCGAATGGCTTTTTATATTGATGAGCACTTGGATTATATTCGTACGTTTTATCAGCAAGAAGAAAGTGAAAATTCGTCTACAACCGTTAGTAAAATCGCATCTACATTTGAAAATAATCAATTGAATGGTCTTATTAAAATTTATATACATTTTATTAAAATATATGCACAAACTCTCATTTCTACTCTTGATTTTTTTCAAACAAAAACGAAACCTGTTTTTTCTTTAATCGAAGCTCATATATACCAGCTTGGTCAATTTTTAATTGACAACAAAAGTTTGACTGATTTTGAAAATGAAATGAATATTTTAATCACTTCCCTTGATTTTTGGCCTGAGGCTTTTACCTCTATTTTTCAAAATGCATTTGAAAAGGCTTACCAGAAATATGAAATGCATGTAACAAACCATCCAACTCGTTCTCTCTTTAAAGATTCTCAACTTTTTGATTCACGCTTTATTCGCCTTACTACAGCAAACAAAAATATTCTGTCTTATAAATATATTTCTGAATTATCAAATCTGTCTGCTAGTTTAATTCAAGAATGGGGTATATATATTAATTTGGATTTGACAAGAATACAGTTTAATGACTTAAATGAATTTTGGGATAAAATATCTTATATGTTACCTAAATTAAGTGGATTATATTTGGTTATCTGCTTCTTCCTGTGCTGTTGAAAGAAGTTTCTCTAATTATAATGAAATTTTGGCAGACAATAGGCAAAACCTAAGTAAAGAATTATTAAAAATTCTAAATATGATGTATTTTAATAATTCTGAATGAAGGTTCTTATTTTTTTTGAAGATAATAAAAAAAAACACTGAAGGTAATATCACACATACCATAAATCAAAGTTTTTTGTATTATTCAAAATAAATAATACAAGTATCTATAATAGAGTATCGTAGAATTTAAAGTGTTAATGAATTGTAAAATTTTAAATATTGAATTAAGACAAGTTTCAATGCTTTAAAAATTTAATTTGCAAGTGCTAAGCGCATTATTTAAAAAATTGTAAGGTGAGTGCAGTATTTAAAAATCGTAAGCTTGATCCAAAATTGCAGTATTTAAAAATCACAAGTTGGGCACAGTATTTTAAAAATCTGAAGTTGAGAGCAGTAATGAAAAAATTGCAAGTTTTTTTTTTTTGAATTAAAATTGAGT